AGCAATCTGATTGTTCTATCCTCCAAGGTATCAAGGTAGGTTCAGCTAAAGAACATAACCAGACATCTTAATTCCCCAGAGAGTAAGCCAGCAAGACAGTACACTCTCTCCAGGTTATATTATCAGGCCTTAAGGAAGTTGAGTATACTCCAGCAGATCTCAACGTTCCCCAGCAGCATATATTCTTAACAAGCATCCCCGGCAGTCTTGGTCTAAAGATTGATTCCCCGGCATTCTATCAACATTCAATAGAGTCACTTCCCTGATGCAGTACAAAACTTCCCCAGGAGAGTCCAATCTAGTTCCCCAGGAAAGTTGGAATCCATCTCCCCAAGTAGTAAGCTTATCCCCAGTAGATTCTGGAAGCGTATCCTCGCAAAGCACGAACGCGTCGCCCGGCTTTATTTAAAGAGTTATTTCCTTAACAGGATATAACTGGGTTATCCTCAGCCAAAAGCCACGGAAAGAGCGTCCCCGACGAAGTTCTCTTACCCCCAGCGAAGTCTATCAACACTTCCAACACATCAAAGATATCATCAGCAAGTTACTATTCAGCAAAGTACCTCTCTCCCCACAGAGTATCACTCCCCAGCAGAGTCGCCAGTTCTGTGATCGGTGGATCTGGAACTGACTGTTTAACGCTGGTTCGCGAAATGTCGCGGAAGCAAGAGTCGCCACCGTCTTTTATTTTCTCCAAATGGAAAGGACATTTACACAGACGAATTCCTTAGGGTAGGTAGGTTCTCGTAGATACTTGCTCTAATTCAAAACAAAACAAATCAAAAATACTTTTCACACCGACACCTTTTCAAAAAGCTTTCGAAAGCAAATTTTCAAACACTCTTGAGGACCGATACAAGAGTCGAACTGGAATTTTCAAAGAAACTTTTTAAAACCCACAATTAAAAAGCAAACAAACCATTTTTAAAAACACAATGAGCAAGTATCTAAGAGCCCATGGATAACCATGGATAGAAAGGGTGCTAACACCTTCCCTTTCTATAATCTACCTCCCGAACCGAGAGCAATCTCTATAAGGAATTTTTCTGTGTTTTTGTCCTTTCCATTTGGAGAAAATAAAAGACGGTGGCGACTCTTGCTTCCGCGACATTTCGCGAACCAGCGTTAAACAGTCAGTTCCAGATCCACCGATCACACCTGCAATACCACAGATGGACGCACAAACATATTACACACTCGCAATACCATAAATGGAAGCACAAAACATAACTCTTGGTTAGCTTCAGGTGGTTTTCCACCTCTTTCCTCTATCAAAGAGCCTTCTGCTTTCCTTAGTGTTGTAGTCAGCCCCACTGTCTTACAAAACACATTCCTTCCATCTCTTTTTAGTAGCAATTTATCCAGGCATATCATGCCTCAGATTATAAAGGAAATATGCAGTAACTATTGCACTCCTCCATATGTGTAATGGATATAATTCCTTGATAGTACAAGTTCCAATCCCTTTATTTTTTATAACAATAAGTTGTTCCTTGTTGTCCATATGCTGCAGAGTCTCTTCCTCTCCTTCAATAAGATTCTATATCAGTTGATTGTAACTACCAAGGTCATTGTTATAGCCACGTTGAATGAGATATCTGAAAGAACTCAGATCTTCACTATGAAATGTCATGACATCCTTCTTGTCACCATGTCTCTTCAACACCAGTTCACAGAAACTTTCTCTTGTTTCCCTCGATACAACATATCCATTTGTATTTGACATCTTCTGTTTAAATTCAGTGATGTTACCTTTTTCAGGATGACTTATTTGTTCTTCAGTAGACAAATCTTTGCTAGATTGAGAATTCACTGATTTTATGTTTGTGAATTCAAAAATGTCCTCCCTTAGTGATCCATCATTTTGCACACAGGATGTTCCAACATTGTATCTAACATCCATCTTCTCTTCAGCAATTGAATCATCAATTATCGCATTGATAGATTCCATTGTAATTCCAATTTTGGAGTTAAAAACTCTATAAGCTCTTATGTTTGAAGAGTAGCCCAAAAATATTCCTTCATCCCCTATGGAATCCTTCTCTTCCACTTGATCTTTGTCAGTAAAGATTTGGCATTTACTTCCATAGATATGAAAGTATTTAACTTTATGTTTCCTTCCTTTCCATACCTCATAGAGAGTAGTAGTAGTAGTAGTACCTCTTCTCAAGGTGACCCTGTTATGAATATAGCATGCAATATTCATAGCTTCAGCCCAAAACTCAAATGGAAATTTCCTAGCACTAAGCAAGACTCTAGCTCATTCCTATATGACTCTAGTCTTTTTCTCAACAATTCTATCTCCCTGAGTTTTCCAAGAATAAGAGAACTTATGGCTTATTCCTTCAGAACCACAAAATTCAGAGAATTTTGTATTCTTAAACTCATAGTCAATGTCATTTCTTACCTTGACAATCATACTCATCTTCTCCTCTTAAATGATTTGACACCTATCTTTGAAGACTTCAAAAGTATTTAATTTTTCTCAAAGAAAATTCATCCAAGTATATCAAGAAAAGTCATTTACAACCACAAAGACAGACCTTTTTCCTCCTAAGTTGTCTATCTGTAATGGTCCAATTACATCCATATGAAGAAGTTCTAACACTTTGGAAGTAGTATGGTGTTGCAACATTGAGAGTGACATCATGATTTACTTTTTACTTACACACTCATCGTAAACTTTTCTTTCTTCAATCTTGAGCTCAGGCATATCTCTAATGACTCCTTCAGATATGAATTCCTCCATTCTTTTGAAATGAAGATGTCCAAGTTTCTAGTGCCATAGCTTCACTCCATATTCATTGATTGTTGAACATATGGAAGAGTAAGAAATTATTTGAGATTCTCATAAATAACAATTGTCTTTAGATCTTATGCCATTTATTAGAACAACTTATTTCTCATCTTTGACCATACATTTTGATTTTAAGAAGTTGAATAACAGACCTTCGTCACATAATTGACTAATGCTAATAAGATTAACAATTAATTCTGTCACAAACAACACATCTTCTAGACTAGGACAACCAACACACACCAGCTTACCAACTCTTTTGATCTCACCTTTACACCCATCGCCAAATCTGACAGAACCTATGGGACGAGGCTTGACATCCACCAACATCGTCTGGACCCCTATCATATGTCTAGAGCATCCACTGTCAAAGTACCAGTCTTCACTAGTTGAGTCTCTCAAGGAAGTATGAGCTATAAGGTTAATATCTCTATTTTCAACACTTCTCTACTTGCTTACTTTATTAGCCTTAGAACGAATTGAATATTTTTAATCTCCATACAATTTGAAACAGAAAGGCTTTATATGACCAGACTCACCATAGTAGTGACATCTCCAAGTAGATTGAGGTTGATTTAAAGATTCATCATATTTTCCAGGATGTTGTAACATGTGTTTGGACATGTCGGTCTTTTTCTTCCTTTTAGAGGGAAAGAACTTTTCTTCTGACATTCTTCTCAGTTTATTATTAGATTGATAATGAACTCTTGCATCTTTATCCTCTTTCACCATATTTATGGAATTTGTCAAGTTATCAAGCTTGGAATTTAAGCATGTTACTTCACTTTGTAGATGAGAAACAATACTCAAGAGTTGCTTCTTCTCATTTTCCAAATTAACAATGATCTTCTATGTTTTTCCTCTTTCTTGAGACTTTCATCACACATGTCACAAGTATCCTTGTAGGGCACATCCAGGTCTTCATAAAGATCATTCTTATCACAAGCTTCAACTTCATCTACCCATCTTCCAGATAGACTCATCACAAGTTTGGCAGTCTCAAAATCATCTTCATCTTCTGACTTATCATCATCAGACCAAGATGCAGTGAAACCTTTCTACTATTTCTTGAGGAAGTTGGTGTCGCACCACAAAAAAACAAAGTTTCTACCGAACTTTATTTATCCTGAAGGAAGGGAAAATATCAAGAAAACCCCGAGAGGAAGGATAAGATGGTCTTACAACCAAGAGAAAGGGTACGAAAGTCGATTACGCGAGGGGAATATATTATTACCCCTCACATCTATGGTACTCCACGGGATCCACTCTTGTTGTTCTAATCAAACAGTGTGTTATATCTAATGCTTACTTGGTAATGGAATGCATGAATGAATACTTAAGGGAAAAATAAAAGTTTTTATTATTGCGCTCGCTTCGGTTTCGAGTTATGTCCCCAAGGCAATGTGCCACACTTGATTTATTTGTGTTTTAGTTATTTTGAAAAGAGTTTTGGAATTGAATCACACTAAAGACTATGGATGAAAGAAAGAACAAGGTCCATAATGTACCGCCTCATCTTTTTTCCACCACTTAAGGCTCGTGGCACATGATTCACATCTTTATTTGTTAAGTATTTTGAAGTTTGATTAAGAAAAAATTTTAGTCTTAGAATGAATGCAAAAAAGAGAAAATGACTAAGACAAACTAATCCTAATGTTGTCATGCATCATCGTGATCCTAAAGTTGAGTTTGAAGGGAATTTTCTATCTATGATTATCATACATGGTTTACACCTAAAGTCTAATTTTAATTCAATTTAATCAAAATTTAAAATTGGATTAAAACAAACCAAGGGATCATGGCAAGATCAATCAAACAAATAAAAGAAATACTATCTAATATTTTTGGCATTTTATCATGAGAAGAAAATCAAAAATTCTAAACAATTAACAAAATCAATCAAGAAAGAAAATGCACTAAAATAAACCATGGGGTGCAAGCATGAACCAGAGGATGCAATAAGTAGGTTCTAAAAGCCCAATCAGATAAGATCCATTAACAGTTTTTTTGTTGCACTTGACTTCAATTATCAAAAATAGAACTCGCGGGATTAAGGGGAGTGGTGAGCACGGAGGCCCAAGTGTAAGGTCCAGGGAAAAACAACACAAATCCCCCGCACTTCAATTATCAGTAAATTTGTTTTAATCCTCAATTATTAAAAAAAAAACAAATGAAAAGAGAAACATTGAAACACATCGTTTAGATGGATATCTTTAGGGTTAAAGATTTGTGACCCTTCGTCTCTTATCGAAACTCAGACGCTTCTTCACCTCTTTTGAGCGGCGCTCTCATCTGTTCTGCTGTTCCACCACCGTGATTTTGAATCCGGAGGCCACACACACCCCAACGCTCCGTTCCCCCTCTTCTGATCGTTCTCATCTCTCTCTTGTAAAAAGAACGCCGTCGTGACCGCCATCCATAATGCTCGGAGTCACGGCTTATCACCATCTAAAGCCTCGTTCGACCTCATCTCCTCAAACCTTCACCTCGAATCAACATTATATCAGTGTAATGGTGTCAAACAAAGCCCCAATCAGAACTCTAGCTTAGGGATTTCGTCAATACGGCGACGGTATCAAGAGCTCAAAGGAGAAGCGAAACAAACATTAACTAGAAAGAATCTGCAAGATAGAGCATCAATCAAAAAGTTCAGAGAGCTTACAGATCGGAGTCCGTCTGATGCGACTTTAATGGTGGTGATGACGAGAAAAAAACCAGGTAGGCTCAGGAAAACGCGCTCTTTATAATCTTGCATTCCCTTCTACCTTCTTCTTCTACACTCTCTTTTTTCTTGAATTCCCTGTTTTTGCATTTTTGTGTGTTGCTTCTTGTTGTTGTTCTATGTGCGAGTGAGATGAGAGAATCTGAAGATTGTTGTTGCAGAGATAAGAGCCTGAAGGATGAGGGAGGAAGATTGAGGATAAAATGGGAGAGAGGATTCAGAGATTTGTGGTGATGGAAGGGTGGATTGAGGGAATGAAGAAGATTGTAGAGAAAGAAGAATGTAGAAAGATGAGAGAATTCTGAGAAATTTGGTGAATGAATGGTGGTTGGGTAAAAAATGGTCGAGAGAAAGAGGTTGAAGGATGAGGTTTGAACTGAAAAATGGTGGTGCGTGAATCTGACCCGAGAGGGAAAGTTCAGTTTATATAGTTGTTGAAGGTTGAAGGTAGTTAGATGAGAAACATTGAGAGCCCTTGGATCTGAAGGAATCTGTTATGAGATGAAGGGTGTAGATGGAGTCGGTTAAAAGTTGGTTAGAGGTGTTAGAGTTAGTTAGGACAGCTGGCATGATTTTGGAATTCTGTTAAAGTTAGTTAATTACAGTTAGAGGTTATAACTCTGTTAGTAGTAGTGTTGTTAGTTCTTAAGGTGGCTTAGGCAATTTAAATGACAAAAGGAGGGAAAGTTGAGTGGAGGGTATAATGGGTATAACACACCTCTTCCCACGTGGAAGAGGGTTAGTTAGTGACAGTTGTGCAAGGTGTTTGTGAAAGGGCTCAAAGGAATGTAGTAAGCAATGTAGGGTAGGTGTTTGTGGAATTGACAAAGTGACTTGGTGTTGAAGGAACACCAAGTGTTTGTGAAAAGATCAAAGTGAGCTAATTTGCAATGTTTTGTATGTGTGTCTGCTGTTTGTGAATGATGTTGCAGCAGGTTGTATTTGAAGTTATACGGTTTGGCATCAGTTTGGCTGGACTGGTATAGTGGTGAACCGGACTGTCATGAACGGTTTGTAAATTTTTTCTGAATTTTCTTTCTTGAACATGGCTGGGGCTTATTTGTCAATTGGGATTGATTTTCTAAGTGTTTACAAGTCTGGTTTTATTGCTAAGAACATGTTAATATTAATGTTTGATGATGTAAAATGGAATTCATCCTTATGGTTGTTGCACTAACATCACCTCTGTATATGCAGGTTCGAGCGATGGTGTATGCACCTTGTTTGAACTACAATGCCCTGTGGTGGTCTCGTAATGGTCCATTGGCACATTGCAGTAGCCTTTGTTTTTATTTGGCAACGATATGGACAGGTCTGGTACAATGATTGACAGCAAGTTTGTAGTCAGTTAGAGTGTTACTAGGTTAGGTTAATTGAAGAAAGTAAACTATTAGGTAGTTAAGGTGGACCGTTAGTATTCGAACTGCTATGCAAGTTAGGAGGTCAATTAGTTTAGAACAATAAATGATGTTAGTGAAACTGACTGTTAAGTGTAATTTAAGTGGTTATGGTTAATAGTTGGTGAACTGTTTTTGTTCATTGGTGCAGGGCAGCTGGTCTGAAATTATGTATGCAGCAAGATTTCGGTAAGGCTGCAAGTTCATGTTTTGTGGATTGATTTCTCATATTTTGAATAGACCATATTGAACTTGAAACTGTGTAGGTATAGTGTCAATTTGTTTATGTTTTTTGTGATGATATAGGGCTGCAATTGAACTCATGTAAATTGTTTGAATTGTTTGTTTAATGCAGGCTGCGGTAGGTTGGCAAGGTGATGCAAAGGCTTGTAGCGTTGATTTGAGAAGGTACTTTTATTCCCAACCGTTTTAGCAAGGTTGTTATTTGGACTATTTTAAATTATTGGATGCATGGCTGTTTTGGTTTACGAATTTTAATTGGTGCAGATTGAGTTGGCCTTCAAAAACGACACGATGTTAAAGTCTTTTGAGCAAGAAAGGCAAGGCTTGAAAATAGGTTTGGCAAGGCATGAAAAAGAGGGTATGACATGAAGTTTGCAATGCAAAAATAGTGGATGATACCAAGATAACCACGGAGAGGCTTTGAGGAAATTGGATCTTGGAGCATGAAGATGGAGCAAAGCTTGGAGATAGGTTAAGGCATTAGGATTAGGTTTTATGCATTTTTATATACCCTTTGTAACTCTTGGTGTAATGGTCATGACTATGTAATGAAACATTCATGTAATGAGTTAGATTGAAGTTGAAAGTAGAATTTGTGCACTTTGAATGTGTCGACTTTTCTCTTTTGCTCAATGTTTCAAAATTATGCTTCGGACTCTTTAATTTGAATGAATCATGGCTTGAATGAAATCTTTGGATGAACAATGGATGAAATTATGGACGTGGTTTCGATGGAACTTGAATAAAATTGTTTGAAGTTCTTGATTCCATGTACCTTTCACAATATCTTCCATACCATTTTCTACTTTGCTTAGTTTTTTGATCTTTTGAAGTTAATAGAATACCCTGAATCAAAGCTTTCATGCTATCTCATACTCCCATAAGAAATGGAGCCAAAATCCACTAGTGTGCCATGCTTGATCTTTATTGAAACCCTAATTGCCAAGCTTATGCCCAAAGACTTTGTATGAAGTTTAAGATAATAACTTGTACCATTCATTCTTCATGCCTTGAATCAACTTTGGTGTGTACCTTAAGCTTTATTAATAACTAGAATCTCAATAGACCTCATATGCCATGTCTCACTCTTGCAATTCAATCCATAAAATATATTGTCTTGTCAAAGTTTTTTTCGAATGATTGCCTTAACATACTGCCTTGAAGATAAATATGACTTGAAGTATGAAGATAAATATGACTTGAAGTATAGAAGAAATGAGAACTCTAAATCCAATCTTTAATGGGTGAACCTTAACAAACTTAAGCAATGAAATAAAACCTTAAACCTCTTGCCATGAATACACATGAAGAAAGTAGCATGACATAAAATATATTGTCTTGTCAAAGTTTTTTTCGAATGATCGCCTTAACATACTGCCTTGAAGATAAATATGACTTGAAGTATAGAAGAAATGAGAACTCTAAATCCAATCTTTAATGGGTGAACCTTAACAAACTTAAGCAATGAAATAAAGCCTTAAACCTCTTGCCATGAATACACATGAAGAAAGTAGCATGAAGTGGTGTAGGCAACCAAAACCCTAGCATACTAATCACTTGATGTACTTAAGAAATCTTGATGAAGACATTCTCGTCACTTGATGCACTTTGAATAAATAGTAGAGCCTCAAAGTAAAAGAGAAAACCCTAACTTCAATATCCTTGATCCCATGTCAAATTATCAATTAATGATGCATGAAGTGTTAAATGACCTAATGAAGAGTATGCAGACGAAATGAGAAACATAAATCATATGATTTTATTAAAAAAGGGTAGGAAAAATTTGGGGTATGACAGTTGGGACATTCAGGTCTAATATGACCATATCCTTCACATTTATAACATTGAATGTCTCTGCTTTGACTTAACTTCTCTTTTGTTCTTGTTTTCTTCTGAGAATCAAAAATTATTACGGATGTCATATGAGATGTTCTTGACATCCGGCCTCCCTCTTCTGTCCAGTATTTTCAATACTCTATTGAAATAATTCTCAAGTAGCACAATGATATTAGACAGATCCTCATCAGTGTCCAGCTCAGCTTGACCTTTATCATCTTCGGAATTAGATACAAAAGCTATGTTTTGTTCATTTTCCCAGTCTTTTCACCAATAGCCAATTCAAATGTTCGAAGTGACCCAATAAGCTCATCAACACTCATGTTGTTGATGTCCTGAGCTTCTTAAATGGTTGTATCCGTCATGTTAAATCTCCTAGATAAGGACCTAAGAATCTTTCTAACCAGCTTCTGACATCTTTTCTCCCAAGGCACTTGATGCACTAGCAATTTCAAGAATCTTCATCTAATATTCCTGAATTGTCTCATCATCATTCATCTTCAAATTCTCAAATTTGGTAGTGAGAAGCTGAAGTCTTGAAATCTTCACTTTAGAGGTACCTTCATAAGTTGTCTTGAGAATTTCCCGAGCATCCTTGGCTATAGTACATGTATTAATTAACCTGAAAAGATTCTTGTCTACTCCATTGAATAGAGCATTCAAAGCCTTGGGGTTTTCAACGACTTCTTTATCATCAGCTTCATCCCAATCTTCTTTAGGTTTTAAAGATTCTTTCCCATCTTTTTCCTTCACAATTGAATGTTGTCATCCTTTTAAAACAACCTTCCAAGCTTTGTTATCCATATATTTCATAAAGGCTACCATTCTTACCATCCACCAATCATAGTTTGAACCATCCAACATAGGTGGCCTATTGTTATATCCTCTTTCTTTCTCCATAGTGTCAGAAAATTATCTCCCTGAATCTCACCTAAAAAACATAACAATGTGTCTACTCTGATACCGATTGAAATTATGGCACTTGCAATAACAAAAGACAAGACTGATGTTTTAACAACACACAATGTCACGACAAATGTTATAACATATACTGATAGAAAATAAACCTGCTAAAAACATAAAGATTGTGCAGAAAGATAAATGACAGAAACTTAAAGAACACAATCAATTGTTAACCCAGTTCAGTGAAACTCACCTACTCTGGGAGCTATCAAGCTAGAAAGAAAATCCACTATCAGTAGTATCAGTTCAAAGCTAAACAATCTAAATTTATAAATTCTCACTTAACCTCAACCCAATGCAATTTCTACCTAGGAACCTCCTAGATATGAGAATCCCCTATCACTCTCAATCACCACAGTGATATCAAACAATCCCAATCACAGAGAATGTCTCAAAAACAAAAAAGAAGATTACACTTTCAATAAACAAATACTTAGTTTTCTTAAAAGCTTCACTAAGAACAATACTCAACTTTTTGCTTAAAAGCTTAGAGGAGAACAATAACTTGATAAATAAGTAACAATCAGTCAACTCAAATGCATCAAAAGATATATGAGGACGTACAAAAATACACGGAGAAACTAAGGAACTCTCAAACCCTAAACTCTTATTTTTCACAAGGTTTTACAATAAAAACAATGCTTAAAAAGCTAGGTCACAGACGTCCCCTTAAATAGACTTCTGCAGTTGGGCTTGGACTCTTCAATCAAATCCAATCTTCTGCTCTAAATCCTTGCAGAAAATATTCTCCATAAAAATAGAAACAAAAAACAAATCTTTCAAATATTTCCTAAAAAGTCTCAAAGATCCTTTTTATGAAACAAATAAAATCTGTAATTATTCCTAAAAATACTTGATTGCATGCGCGTGTTATGATTACTAGAAGCCTCCAGAAACTCATATTTTCAAATCAAATCTTCAAGGACATCATCCAGTTGTACTGTCATGATGTTCTATTATAACATGTTACAACATCTGTTAGAACATCTGTCAAATAAAGTACCAACAGACTCTGTTGTACCAGCTGGTCAAGATGTTATTACATCTTATTCAATATTAGGCTGCAATACATATTTTTCCCAATTAAACATGTTTTGATAAAATTGTTGTCAACATTTTGTTTTACCAAAATTGTTGCCAACCATAAAATTACAAATCTAACACATATCATTAGAATTTGCAACCCTGCATAAATTGTGTGGAAAACAAAATCAGAAAAAAGTACAGATGACAGCTCAGACATCAGAAAAGGACAAAATTACAACAAACTTTGTAGCTTATTCACTCACGTATTCAATTCCATTCCTCACTCAAATAACAGATCATCATTCACAACAAAACTTGCTACCCAATTCTTATTCAATCTCTCTTTTACCCTCACTCATTTTCACCTATATAACAATGCATCTTTACACTCTTCAAACACACAAAAACAGCACAGAAAACACATACCAATACATCAAGAAATAAAATAACAAACTTCTCCCTTAAACCTCTTAATCCATAACCCTCGTTCCTTCATACATTCTTAAAACAGCAGCTCCCACAACCCTTAGAAATCTTCAAAACTGAATCACAACACCATTCAACCAAACCTCCATACACGTTCAACCTTTCTCTCACTCTTAGATTCATTCTCTCATTACTCTCACACACAAGAGCAATAACTGAAACATAGAAAAGATACGCACGAACCAACACAAAATCACATAAAGAGAGACGGAGCAGAGTAAAGCGTAGAGATAGAAGCAGATCGAGACCCGAGACTTACCAGGTGAAATCACAACTGGGAGAAGTAAGCAAGAGAGGACGAAGGA